GGGGGGGGGGGAACCAAAAAATACCAGGAATTGAGGGAATCCTAAGTAACATATTTCAACAAACAGATGCTGTTCTGGATGTGCTCACTAAGTAATGACAAGAAGTCTGAAGGACAACTACTTGGCTAACTTAATATAAGAGATCCATATTTATTTCCTTTTTTTTTTTTAAAGATGACCCAACAGAGTGTGGAAATTATAGAAAAAAAATCACTAATTTCACAGACTAGCAAAATCCTGCTGAAAATTATCCAGAAATGATTGAAACAGCAGTACATTGACAGAGAATACCAGAAATACAAGCTGGGTTTAGAAGAGGTAGTAACACTAGAGAAATTTTTGCCAATGTCAGATGGATCTTGGCAGAAAGTAAAATGTACCAGAGAAATATCTATTTGTGATTCATTGACAATGCAAATGTATTTGACTGTGTGGATCACAACAAATTGTGGGTGATCTGGAGGAAAATGAGAATCACAGCACACTAAATTATGCTTATGCGAAACCTATGCTTGGACCAGGAAGCAGTCCTCAGAACAGAGCGGGGAAACACTGCATGGCTCAAAAGCAGGAAAGGACAATGTCAGGATGCATTCTGTCTCCATACCTTTTCAATCTGTATGCAGAACAGATCATTCGGGAAGTAGGGCTTTATGAGGAGGAATGTGGCATCAGGATTGGAAAAAGATTCATCAACAAACTACATTATGCAGATGACATAACTTTGCTTGTTGAAACTGAAAAAGAGCTGAAGTGCTTGCTGCAGAAGGTCAAGGACTGTAGTTTTCAATATAGATTGGAGCTCAACATCAAGAAGACAAAGATTCTCACCACTGGGCCAATTGACAGTACCATGATTGCTTAAGAGACAGAGGTTTTTAGCAATTAGAGCTTGCTCTGCTCCACAATTAACACACTTGGCACCAGCAGTCAGGCAATCAAAAGATGAATTACATTGGGAAAATCTGCTGTCAGGGACCTCTCTAGAGTGCTGAAAAGCAACATCATCAGTCTAAAGACTAAGGTGCACCTAATCCAGGCCATGGTCTTCGAAATTACTTGCTATGTGTCAGAGAACTGCACAATGACCAAAGATGACAAAAGAATAATTGATGCTTTCAAACTGTTGTGTTGGAGAATAGTTTTGAACAAACCATGGACTGCCAAGAAAATAAATTGGTCTGTCTTATAGAGGGTGAAACCAAGTTTCTTCTTAGAGGCTAGGATTATGAAGCTCCATCTCACTTACTTTGGGCACTTGGTTAGGAGAGGCCAGTCCTTGGAGAAGTATATCATACTTGGAAGAGTGGAGGGACAATAGAGGAGAGGAAGACCCCCGCATGAGATGAATTGTATGCTGACTGGGGCAATGGGTTTTGGTGTGTAAGAATTAGTGAGACTGGCTCAGGACAGGGCAAGGTTCAGAGCTACTGTACATAAGGTTGCTATGGGTCACAGGCAACTTGAGAGCACATAATAGCAACAGCATGGACCATTCAGTCAGAACTGACTCATATCGATTCATTTTTCTTCCATGGAGAAATTGGCGAATTCTGACCACTCACCTTTGAGTTTGAAACACAACTCCTTATTATCTATCTATCTATCTATCTAAATTCACATTATATATTATATATATAATCCCATCATAGCATTTGTGCAAAAAATAAATAGAAACATGGAAACCTATACCTATATACAATATACTTATATAATAAAAAAATGCATATATAAATTAAAGGACAGACAATTTTTTTTTAAATTTAAAATGGGATTTTATTTAAGAGACATGAGCTAGAAGGGAAATACACAAATGGAAAATAAAAACATTAAAAAGTGTTCAACAATATTAGTCAACAGGGAAATGCATATTAAGTTCATAATGAAACACTTTCATTTACCCACTACAATAACTAAAATTTAAAAGATGGGCAAAAAAAGGTGTTGGTGAGAATATGAAATTCTAATGTGTTGCTTTTGGGAATGCAGAATAAATGCAGCTATTTTAAAAAAAATTGTAATTTCTTATGTAGTTAAAAATATATTCAACATATGGACATTTTGCTCAAAATAGCACTAACATCCAAAATTCATAAAGAGTAGTATATACAAATAAATTGTAGGATTTTGTTTCGTGGAATACTATTGCTGTATTAAATGCTATCAAGTCAGTGTTAACTCACAGTAGCCTCTCACAGTATGATAAACTGCCACATAATGATCAGTAAGAATTGATTAAAAGGAAGGTTTTTTGTTTTCTTTTTCAAACTTCATTGTAGCAGTTGGCTAAGGTTTTGGTGTGTTGTTTTTGTTGTTTTTCTCTTGGAGCAATTGTGTGTGAGGAATGTCTATCTGTGTTTCATTGACTATGCAAAGGCATTTGACTGTGTGGATCATAACAAACTGTGGCTGACTCTGAGAAGAATGGGAATCCCA